AATAAAGAATAAAAAGGTAGAAAAATATACAATATTAAGAATGAGTCATTACTGTCATTTAGAAATTAAACTACTTGATATATGTGATGGAGAAGTGGATGAACATAGAAGCAGAAATGTGATGGAGAAGTGGATGAACAGAAACATATACAGGGAAAGACTTGTAAGAAATCAAACACTAAACTAGATATTGTAAAAATTCCAACTTCAGAAACACACAAAATGGCAAAACTGAGTCATCCAACTGTAGAAAGTGTTGACAAGGAATGTTCTAGAAAGAAACTTTACGACCAGGAATGGCAAAAACAAAATATCAGAACTTCTGACTAAAGATTGAAAAATCTTCTGAATACTTTAAGGGAAATTGCCCAAGAATTAAAAACAGCTTTGTACACAAACAGAAATACGAGTGCTCGATAACAAAATTTACAGGGTAAACATCCATACTAGCAACAGCTGGCAGTCGTTAACGTGATGAATAACAATTAAAGTAAAAACTCACATTTGAAACGTTACTAGATGGAGGTGCAGAAACAGATGATTCAAAGTCTATCAGATCTTTGGACGTATTTAGAGACTTTAGACTTGAGGAAGGACGGTACACTGTGGACTTGTGAGGATTGTCCTGACTCAAGCTGAATCGACGTGGACTATCAATGGGAGTCCCCCCTCTTGAGCTTCCTGCTAAACTTCCAGAATCAGGACTGTCTTCAAACACGAATAATGCAGCATTGTCAGAGTCCATGCTCCTATGAAGTACATTTCTGTCAAGAGATCGCCCTCTGTTGGGAGTAGGAGGAGTTCTGTGTCGCAGGTTCCCTTCGTGATGCAACAGCTGAGATGCGGGTGGAGCACTTCGTATGCTCTCCATAGAAAGAGCAGGTGTTAAATTGGTGTCACTTAATTCATCAACCCTCATATCCTAGAGAGGAAGAAGCAAAAAAAAACACCAGCATTCAGTCATATTCACTATAAAGAAAACATTTTACATCTTGATAGCTTCTGAGATATTAAAAATGGTTTGTACGTTAATAAAACTGTTCAGAACTGAAGAGTAGAAAGTTAAGATCATTGTAACTTTCTACTGGCTAACATAACCACATCATATTATCTATTCGTATAATTCTTTTGTTCTCATAGAATCTTATCTCAAACTCAATCTTCCTGAGTGCTTCACTAAATATTGTGTCACAACTATCACAAGAGGCATAGGAGTAGGTTAAATATTATCAAAACATTTTTAAATTATAATAAATAAACAAAAAGTAGTTATACTTTAGAAAATTAATGTCATATGTTAATTTTCACATCTACAATCAATGTTATCTCAATCTTTACAACATGACTACAACTAACATTGTATACTAATGTTTATGGCCATGAAACAACAATTAATTCTAAGTGACTGAGATTTCAAGTAATGTAGAGCCTTAAATCTTAGTATTACACCACAGCTACTACTGTACCTTAATTCTGACTATTATACCACAGCTACTACTGTACCTTAATTCTGACTATTATACCACGGCTACTACTGTACCTTAATTCTGACTATTACACCACAGCTACTGCTGTACCTTAATTCTGACTATTACACCACAGCTACTACTGTACCTTAATTCTGACTATTATACCACAGCTACTACTGTACCTTAATTCTGACTATTATACCACATCTACTACTGAACCATAATTCTGACTATTATACCACACTTAGTCTGATAATGCTAATATTTAAGTAAGGCTACTTACCCTGATAACCACAGTCAACAGTGGAACCAGTCTTGTTTTACAGAAAGTACACCTTACAGGATAGAAAATCACTTTTAAGCATAAGTTACGAAAAAATTATGAAGGAGAAGAAATGTTTTTAGTAAATTGAAAAACAGAATAAGAAACATGACTTAAACAACTTTGACCTGAATGTTGTTGTTTTATTAATACCTATTATCCAAGAAAATGTAAACTACAGAATTGTTTTTGCTCCATCCCAGGAAAAACAAAACAATAAAAATACCATTTGTAAGCTTTCATTTTATTTTACTGCAAATGTAAAATAAATAAAGTTGCACATGATAAAAAAGTTTTTGGTATATTATTTAGAAAACTTAAGATGACAAGCACTTTGAACTAATCCAAAGTTGTTAGAAAATTACTTTGTCAATAATATCTTATATTTTTATATTTCTGGTTGCAGATTAAAAATGCTTTCATCAGAAGTACACAAATCCACAGTTATATTTGTAAATGACAAAGTTTACTATGTTTACTGATGGCTACATAAACATTACTTTTATCTCAATAAAAAACCCATGCAAAATTGTACAAAAACAATAAAAGAAAATTTATCAAGTGTCTCTTCTTAGATATAAATGTTTATTGTATTTTCTCTCTTTTTCACACATATCCCATCATTCATGTTAATTAGCGAAAAAACTAAGAACACTCTCCAATGTCATTAAGCTACTGTAAATTTAAAAATATCTTGAAACATTAACATATTTGTTTAGTGCTAAAATTGAATGAAGCACATAAGATTAGCCTAAAAGTTAACACTTTCCTAAACTGAAAATGTATTTACAAATAGATACTTACCTTCCCTCACAACAATTTATCTCGATTAGTACTGCCCTCTATCGGCACAAATATATATTGCTTGCCACAAGCCTTGTAACTCCCACTTCTTTCTGCATGTCTACATGTAAATGATCATCTCCACTAATAGGAGTGCAACACTATTCCTATCGTAACAAGAACCCTCTCTAATAATGCACCTGTTAATCGCTTCATGATTGGCCAAGACCAATGTAACCAATACACCAGAAGTAGGGAGGATTTGTGGGAAATGTGAGAGGAGGTACGTATCTATTTGGAAATACATTTTCAATTTAGGAAAATATTAACTTCCGAAATGATATCTCACCTCCACTCACAAAAGTTAGAATCTCACGTTGAAAAGATGGAGGGCTAGTGAGAAGTTGATCCTCCTTTTGAAAGCACCCAAAAAAAGACCATGAGGTGTGGCAAAGGAATTAGAAACATCCAGCAGGAGACCGCACCACTTCCAAGCTAGGTATACTCCTCACCCTGTATTAAATTATCTCCAAAATGAAAGGGCAAAAACATGGAGAATTCTTTGTGTCGAGTGGCTAGGTCATGACAGACTGTAACTAGGAGTTCGACCTCAACCAACACCTGGTGGCATCTGGAATTGTACATCAGGTCTGCAGTAGGAAGAGGGTCCCCTATCTTTCACCTCAAAAACAGGTACTGGGACGGAAGACTAGCTTCCATACTAATAACCGGTCTCTGCATTATGCTAATCCAACACAACCAGTACCAGACCCACTGGGAATCCACATCCAGCAGATGGTAGGAAGTAAGAAGAGATCAGGAGACGTTCATATCCCATCCAAAACCTGGCAGCATTAGGAATATCACATTCAGTACATGGTAGGAACAGGGAACCCACCCTTACACATGCGAGAAATCATGTTTCATCCAGCTTCAAATCCACCAGGAACTGACGTCAAGCGAATTAACTATGGCTGCATTTAGAAGGTGATAAGTATAAAGTAGAAATCATCAGGGATGGAGGGGAGAGAGATAGTAGTGAAAGCAGAATTACCCTCCTGGGCAGCAGAAGTCTTGGTCAGGAAAAAGGAGAACATAGGAAGAATAGAATAAAATATGGCGAAAATCGATCACAAAAGCATCAGAATGAAAACATGCCAACAACAAGAGAAATAATGACTTCAATGACAGGTGACATAACTAACAAGATGATACAGGTTCAAACAGAGGACAAGTAAGAGCATGGAGGACCACACTGAGGTTCCAATCGGGAAGTGAGGCAGGGCAGGGAAGACGAGCAATGGAAAAAGAATGAAATAACATAAACGGAACAGGATACTGGAACACTGATGCAAATTCGGTAAACAGAAATTGTTAGGCCCATCATAAAGCCAAGTGAAAAAGGATGACAAATGAGGAATGGTAACTCTGGCATAGAGACCAAGTGGAGTATTTAGTCTATTTACACTGATAAACTGCCAATGAGGATGGGCAAAAAGGATGGGAAATCAAGGACGCGACATGCCTGGAAAGGCCAGATGTTCTGATGAGGGACCAGACAGAAATCATGTGTGAATATGGAGTGTGGATAGGGAAGAATGACACATGCTGGAGTGGGGCTGATGACGGAACATATGAGATAAAGGGAGAGGGATGGGTGGTGACACCAACAGCTACCGTAAAAGCAGAAACCACGTTTGAGCCGATCAATATGGTGCCACCAACAGAACTCGACAAGGAGTGGTCTGAACTATGGAGAGAACACAAAGGAGAAGCTGAATAGGAGGACAAACATACAGGTAACTGTTCATCCAATTCTGGCTGAGAGTATCCACTGCATTTACCTGCAGATGAGGAACAGGCAAGTAAAAATGGAGAAGTTTGGTGTTGGAAGGAGATGCAATGGCATCCAAGTAGGGGAGACCCCAGTGACCACACAACTCCCGACAAATGTGGAGTCGGGATATCTGATCTGCTACCAGATTCATGGCACCCAGAATATGACACACCAGCAAAGTAATTTGGTGGCCATGAGCCCTTTACATGAGATCCAATGTCTGAAAACAATAGTCCCTCGGCCATGTGCTGGGCCCAACTTTATAGTGAATTTAAAAACAGGGTAGGTGTAAGGAAAAGAAACCGATTAACCCTATCGGCACGGGTACCCTTTACTGCGCATGACACAAGGTTTTAATGACTTACATTCAAAATTTTATTAAACTACTTTTTGTTTATGTTATACCAATTAGAATAGCATAAAATTTTAGCTAATAATCCATATTTTAATAGTATACAAGTTTTAACTTCTTAATTCTAAAAGGAAATATATATAAAAAAAAATCCTGAATTTCCACTAGCGTAACACACAGGACAAATTCTGTCTTAGCATGTCATCATCCCTATTTTTATCCATCATCCCTTGAAAATGTATGAAATTAAACGTAAAATGCTTTCTATAAAATCATTATTGCTCAAACAGACCATAATTTTTATGGCCTTCAATTTTGTTTTGTTACAGAGCTATAAAAGAGGGAAAAGAAAACCTCCTGCCACACCCACCTGTTACATCCTCTCTTTCATAATTGGTTGATAGTTCTCTCTTACATTTCATTATATATTATTTATAACCAATAGAAAGTCAAGGTTTTCATCTACCAAATATCGTATTATATAACATTGTGTTTTGAACTGATAACCGTCAATGTCACTCTGAGTAGCAACTTCGTTCCCATGGGAAAGTTAACGACTAACGGCTCTTGTCTCATAGTTAGAAATCCAGGAAAACTTTGGAAGTAAGTAAATTTGTCTACTTTTTGCATGTTATTAGTCTATATTCTTTGGTGTATTTTTTAAGTAAATAGGAATTGTTAAGTGCTTTACCATAACTGCTAACAAAAAAATCAGGCTTAACTCTACTCGACAATCGAGGGCAAGAAAAAATCAGATTGGGAAAATAGTTTATTTCT